CACCAGCAAATCTACAACAGAATTACAGAAAAAGAAAAGAATCAAGGTGTTGCAATGGCCTAGTGACCTCAACCTGATCGAAATGCTGGGGCAGGATCTCAGGAGAGATGTGCAAAAAATAAATGCCTCAATGAACTGAAGCAATGTTTTAAGAAGAGCGGGCCTCCACAATGATGTTAGGGACTAATAAAGTCATACAGAAAACAGTTACTTCAAGTTATTGCTGCTAAAGGTGGCTCTACAAGATATTTAATCACAAGATGTTATTTTTTTCCACATTTGGCTTCTCTATTTTGGCTTTCTTTTTATAAAATAAAAAAGATAGATTGTACAATTGTAGATATATGCATACAGAGAGAAATGTAAATACAAATATATGTTGTGATTGGAAGGATCGGTCCTGTGGGGAGTTTTGACTCTGATGACTGTTAGATCGTGGATTGACGTCAGAACCAGGAAACGTTAATCTGAAGGGCAAGCCAGTTAATTAGCACGTTGCCTTAATGGGTATAAAAGGACACAGCTGAGCTGGTGCCTTTCGTCAGGAACAAAATGACTATTTTGAATGAGGACGTTACTGCAAAGAGTTCTCTGTTTGTTTGAATTTTGAAGGGGAGTCCTAACAGTTTCTGCCAGCTGTTATCTTGTTATTTCCTTCAGTTTGATTTGATTGTGAAATGGCTGCTTTGTGTTTGTTCGTTTGAATTTCCAAGAGGAGACATAACAAATATATATATGGAAAAACTTCATGTGTTTCAGCCTCAAAAATGTCCTTAAATGGTTATAGTCAAAACATCTGAGCTAACTTTAGAGATGTGGGGCTTTAACTGAATGAAATGATACTTAAAGCCTCAGGAAGATTTGAAGCACTAGTTTTGCTCATGGACGTCCTCAGCTCCAAATAAGGGCAGAAAATACTGTCATTTTTTTACTGTCATTGTCACTAAGCAGCCCAATCATTAAGCATGATGTCACATGACTGCCAACTTACATCTGTTCCTCTGCTGTTGTTAAGCAAATCACTGTGGGTTGTTAAAAGGCAATTTCACATCACTGTGACTTGCAATTTCCTGCCGGTATACTCATTTATTTTGGTTGTCAAAAGCTAGCTGGGAAGGTCACAAATGGGGATCATGAGTGTGAGATGCTGCAACCATCAGAAATGTGCAACAGTTGGTAGAAGTTGAATGGGTGAAACTCCTTTTCCTGCACCTTCAAAACCACGGGAATTGCTGGTGTGTGGTCACTGAAGAAGTGCTGCTATGACCACAAATTTGCGGAGCAGGTGTACGTCTTCTTTTACAGTGCCATAGTAACTTTGAAGGCTCAGGGAACAAGTGGTAGGTGAGGACTACCTATACAACCATCCCAAAAGGTCCTCAATAGCTTTTTTTTTTTTTAAGGGGGTGGGTTAAGCACAGTTGAACCTGGTTAATACACAGATGGGGCACCAATAGGAAATACCATGGTTGCTGGCTAGAGATGGAAGTTAAAAAAAACATAAATCCCAGAAGAGATCAGAGGCAGATCAGTTTGATATTGTTGTCAAGAAAACAGCACGTCTATTACAGAATAACAGAGTTGGAAAGGGATCTTGGAAGTTTTCTAGTCTAATCCGCTGCTCAGATAGCAGATTCTATACCATTTCAAACAAACGGTCACCAATCTCTTCTTAGAAGCCTCCAGTGACGGAGCACTCATAATTTCTGGAGAGAAGCCATTACCAAAGAATCAAATTTAACTTGAAAGAGACTTTTTAAATCTTCCCAACCAGCAGAAAATTGCAGCCACCAGTTTTAAGCAGCACCAGGGAAGGAAAGGAACATGTAGCAGCAACTTACTTGTTTCACCCTGTTGCTTCCATGGCGTGGAAGAAATCAAACAGCCCTACTTGCTCCCAGCCTCACACAATAACAGGGTTGGAAGGACCGTGAAGGTCTAGCCCAATACCCTGCACAAGGAGGAGACCCTGAAAAAATGCTCTTTTCACTCCTCAACTCACCTTTCAGTTGCTCCTCTTCCACTGGAAGTGCACAAGAGCTACTCTGCACATCACATTCCTCCCATGAGTGAGCCAAAAGTTCCTTTCTGCTCCCACCCAACCCCCGTCTTTTCTAGCGATGCAGTACTCGATGTTTTAACTCCTTTTAGCTCCACCACAGATGCCGCTATTATATTGTTGGCTTTCTTCTAGTCGCGGATGCTGCTTATTTGACTGCCATCTTGTGATAGGAAGACGAAAAGCAGGCTTGTCCTGTCTCTACCAAGGCCTTTGCAAGATGTTTTCACTGGTTACCTGCTACCATTATTTTTTGACTCTTAACAACCTACCTTTGCAACTGAGCCAAGTAAAACAGTGAAATCTACCACTTTCCTTGTCAAAATTAGCTATGTGCTGAGCCCTAAAAGTTCATGAAGTTCTTACAGAATAAGAGTTGGAAGGGACTGACTCTCTAATGGGAGACTCTGTACCAGACCAATGGTTGTCCAATCTCCTCTTAAAAACCTTCATTGATTGAGCCCGCACAAGCCATTCACTGGAAACGTTCAAATTCTGATGGGGAAATCCACTAAGGACCTGGCTCAGCATCTGGCAGCTTAATTGGGATGCCAAGTTGACCTTACTCCAGTCTGAAGGAGCTCAGTCAGGAATGGTCTTTGTGGACGGGTAGCACTTTTGCAGAAGGGGAACGGGATGAAAAGGCTCAAATATGCTAAACCTCACAAAAATTGGACTAAGGATCAGTAAAAAATAATGTTATGGAATGATGAATCCAAGATTGAAATTTTTGGATCCAATTGTCAACAATATGTGAGAAGAGTTGGAGAGAGATGGACAAATGAGTGTTTGTGGCCTTCAGAGAAACATGGTGCTGTCCTGGCTTGGAGCTACATTTCTGCCAGTGGTGTTGGCAATACGGGTGAGATCATGAACGCTAGAAAGTACACACAGGTTTTAATTCATCATGCCATTTCTTCTGGAAAGTGCCTGATAGGAATTTATTTTTATTTTTCAGCATGATAAGGGTCCCAAACACACTGCTCCTGCGGTGAAATGATATTTATTGAGAAAAAGAGCTGATAAAACATAGTGATGGACTGGCTTTGACAGAGTTCAGATCTGACTAGTATGGACACAGTATGGCATCAGATGAATAGAGAAAGAAATAAGATAACCTAAATCTAAAGAACAGTTCTGGGTTGTGCTAAAAGAAACCTGGTATAATATATCAGAAGATGACCAAAGAAAACCTCAAAAAAAAAAACACCCCAAAGAGTTCCAGATGTGCTTAGAGCCAAGTTAGTTCACACTAAATGCTGACTTTTGCCTGTAGAAGTCATTTTGTGCTGCAAATTGTGTTTATGTTTTATACACATATTTCTTGTATTTCCTGTTTGAATCTTAATATAAAGATGGAAAAATAATTATGGTCATTAAAACTTTGCTAAAACAACAAATCTAATGATTGCTTAAAATGTTTGCACAATACTACTACATTTCTATTACATATTACATATTCTATTACATATTTTGCAACAGTAGAGCTCCAGAATTATGAGCAAGCTTTCCACAGAAATCCTGAGAGTAGGGTGCTTCTCCCAAAACTTGTCTTTGTGACTCTTAAAAGGTATAAACAGTAGCAAGCTTCAGTGCAGTTAGCACCCAAATAGAGATGCCAACAGGTACAGAGATGAAAATAAGCAACAGCTGCTTAAAACCTCCCTCAGCATTAAACAGTTAAATATGTTGCTACCGGTTCTGTGGGCGTGACTTGGTGGGCGTGGCAGGGGAAGGATACTGTAAAATCTCCAGTCACAGGTGGTATTTGCTGGTTCTCTGAACTACTCAAAATTTCCGCTACAGATCTCCAGAACTGGTCAGAACCTGATGAATACCACCTCTGTGCCCGATGGCTCCTGTGTCTAATTTCATTTTATCCTTGGGGAACATGTAACTCTGTTGGTGTAAAAGCGGGGATCAAGTTGTTTTTTTGGGGGGAGGGCAGCTTCATTTTAGAGATGAAAACTTTTAAAACAGGAGAAGAAAGGCAGGAAGTGGATCCTCCTACTCAGAACAAGGGATTCTCCCTATTTTCCGGAAGAGAGCCATGTGAATGTATGGGAGCCAAAATCGGGTAGCATGGAATATCACTTTTGCACGTAAACTGTTGTAAATGTGGATTTGAGCAGGGCACCTACTATCATATGTGGTGGTCCTGTCCAAAAGCAAAAAAGTATTGGAGGAAAATTAGTAATTGGCTTGAAGAAATCACCTAAAGTTAAGATTGAATGGAAACCAGAAATATTTCTATTGGGAATTCTAAAACAAAAAATTAGTAAAAAAATATTATATATCATACTTCACATATAAACAGCGGCAAGGCTCGCCCAAAATTGGAAATGTGAAAATACTCTCCCCCTGCACCCCTCATGATCATAAAAAAGTTTTGGAATGTGCAGAAATAGACAAGCTATCATTGGAACTTAACAACAAAGAGGAATCAGAATGAGATTTGGAATTGTTCCTACAATTGGCTAGAAGATAGACATGAAATTAATAAAGTAAAGTCAAATAAAAAGACATGAGGGAAGCTAGTAATACTATATGTAATTAGATTTGTAATATGTAATGGGATGAAACTTTGTCCTATTATACAATTTGAGAAATGTCAGATTGAATGAACACTTTTGTGATAAGTTGTGATAAGCGGACAGTTTAAATTTACTGTATTTGTATAAATTTGTTTAATATTTTTATTATATTTTTTTAAAAAAGGAATAAAGAGTTACGCATTTTAATGTAATTGTTAGTCAGAAAAGATGCTTCCACTCCTCTTGACATACCGTATATATAAAGTTAGGTATTTTATCCAGGACTTTGGCGTTGCTCGCCGGCGCTCCAGCCGCCTTCTCCCCGCAGCGGATTCAACGAAGGGGTTAAACGGAGAGAGCTTTTCTTTTGCGCCTAGAGAGGAGGCAGGAAAGGGGGGGGAAAATAGGGGCCGGGGGTCCAGTTTCCGGTCCTTCCTGCCCCCCGCCCCCCATTCTGGTCTCCCGACGTCTCTTAAGCCGGGGGCTGCGGGGTTCCCCTCGTGGGGAAGGGCGCTCAAGGTGGGTAAGGACGCTGCGAGGGGGGGCGGGAGGAGGAAGGGAGAATTCCCAGGTGCAGGAAGGGAGGAGAGATTCCTTGCGGGAAGGAAGAGCTTCCGAGTCCCCCGCCTTTCCTTGCAAGGTTTTCTGCTCCTTGGGGACCGCTGCGCCGCCGCTTCTCCTCCTCGGTTGCTGCTTCTGCGAACGGCTTTCCGATCCCCTTAAAATCCTTCCTCCGAGACCCCCCCCCCTCCTTCCCCGCAGCCCAACATTTGGTGCAGCCCGGTTACCTGTTGTTTTCCTGCACCGCCATTCCCACGTCCCCACGTGGCTGCTGGGGAGGGTCTGGAGGCGTGGGGGGCGAGAGGATCTGGGCTCAGAGGGATCGTGGCTGGAGGGGCTCCCTCCGAGGGTGGGAACCCTGCTAGGAAGAGACCGGTGGCACCTGAAAGGCAGGTGACGGAGGCTAGAGAGAGAGGCGTCCAGGTGGGCTTGGCCAATGGGCAGTTCTGTCCAGGTGGGCTTCCTTGGAGACGCAGCCCCTGAATCTGCCTCTCTTACCTGCCCAAATTCCTGAATCTGCCTCTCTTACCTGCCCAAATTCCCTTTCTGGTGACTGCTGCATCCCTATTTCTCTCTGCCCATGTAACTGAGCAGTTCCTATCTCTGGATATTTTCAATTTTAATTTTAGCTCTTTTATGGGCTGTATAATCTACACTGAAAAAGAAGCTGTCTGCTGTTTTTTAAAAGCAGCTTTCCAAAGAGATCTTCTGCCGGATATGTATACAAGGATAAAAGAATTTCAGGTTAAGTGAAAGGCCTGGGAGCACTAATAACTGCTTGCCAAGCATTTTGGGGAAGAGAGACTGGTGTGCACAAGAGGCAGTTTGGGTGAGCTCTAGAGAGGCTTCAGTTGTGGAAATAAAATGCTTGCATGGAGAGTTTCTGTTTATATGCTACTCAGCCAGCCTTGCTTCCTCTAGTTATTCTATTACATTCTCCCCTTTCCAATTTTCAGTTTCCTCCCAATTTCATGTCTGTCATAGGTATGTAATTTCTCTGAGCCTCTCCACCTTCACTTTTACAGCTTTCAGTTTCTGTAAATAGTTAAATATTTTAACATAATACTTAACACCAGCTTTCCAGAGCCTACTAACTAGCCTGCACATTATATGATACTACTTTGTCTGGACTTTTTTAAAGGGGAGGGCAAGGTCTATTTCCCCCAGGCAATTCAAAAGGATAAATCACTCTGGATTGATCATGTTTAATGCAAAACAGTTCAGTAAGTTTAATGCCAAGGGCATTGCCCACATGTGCTCCCACATATTAAAAGTTCCTGGGTGTAAGATATTTGGAAAAGAAAGTATGAATATTCAGATGAACGTATTTCCCCCATAGCTCTGTTTTAAAAAGGTCCTTAACCTTGACCCTGACTCAACAGCTGTAACTGTGAACAGGATCTAGGACTTCCAATGGAGAGTCACCCTAAGTATGAGCTACCAGTGTGCTGCAGCTGCAGAAAAAGCCAATGCAGTCCTAGTCTGCATCAACAGAGGGATAATATGGAAGAGCACATGAAGTCCCACAGGTGCTCTATCAAGAGACCACTGCACTTTGTTTCTCCTTCAAGACGGTTCTGAAGACAATTCTTGGATGAGAAGTGAATCATCTTCAAGGAAAAACAAAGAAAGTCCAGTTGCCTTTTGAAAAAACACTTTGGGGGCAACCATGACCTGATGACTGAGAATCTGCATAGACATCATATGAAGCACTAGTCCTGCATATACTGACTGGTAAGACAACATTTGGAATATTGCATCCAATTTTGGTCACCAGGAAAGAGGATACAGGAAAGAGATTGAGCCTCTAGAAAGAGTTCAAAGAAGAGCAACAAAGATGATTAGGGGATTGGAGGCTAAAACTACAAAAGATCTGCAGGAACTGGATATGTCTAACACAGAAAATGACTAGGGGTGACATGATAGCAATCTATTTGGAGGCTGACAAAGAAAAAAGAGGAAGCAGCAAGAGAGCAAGCAGGAGAAATAACAGATGGAAACTTACCAAAAATAGAATAAAATAGAATTCTTTACTGATCAAGTGTGATTGGACACACAAGGAATTTGTCTTGGTGCCAATACTCTCAGTATATATAAAAGAAAAGATACATTTGTCAAGAGTCAAGAATCATAAGGTGTAACACTTAATAGTCATAGGGTACAATAAGCAATCAAATCATACCAGGAAACAGTCAATATAAATTGTAAGGACACAAGCGACAAAGTTACAGTCACGAATGGGAGGGGATGGGTGATAAAGAGTGATGAGAAGATTAACAGTAATAGTAGTACAGACTTTGTAAATAGTTGGACAGTACTGAGGGAATTATTTGTTTAGCAGAGTGATGGCTTTGGGGAAAAACTGTCCCTGTGTCTAGTTCTGGTGTGCAGTGTTCTATAGCATCATTTTGAGGGAAGGAGTTGAAACAGTTTATGTCCAGGATGTGAGGGGTCTGCAAATATTTTCACAGCCCTCTTTTTGACTCGTGCAGTATACAGGTCCTCGATGGAAGGCAGGTTGGTAATAATTGTTTTTTCTGCAGTCCTAATTATCCTCTGAAGTCTGTGGAGATCCAATCTAGAATTAAGGAGAAATTTCCTGTCAGTGAGAATAATCAGCGGCATGGCTTACCTCCAGAAGTTGTGGGTGTTCCATCAGGGGAGATTTTTAAGGGGAGATTGGACAGCCATTTGTCTGGAGTGGTATAATATCTTCTACTTGGAGAGATGGTCCCTTTCAATTCTTATCTAATTCTCATGAACATTTAGGGCTCAGCATGTAGCTAATCTTCAGAAGCTAATTAATGTCACATTTCACTTGGGTCAGTTGCAAAGGTAGGTTGCTAGGAGTCAAGAATGACTTGATGGAATGTAATGAATGAAAACGTCTTGCAACGCCTTAGGTAAGGTATGGGACAAGCGTGTTTTTCCACCTCCTATCAGGAGATGGCGATCATGAAGGCAACATCTGTGCCTAGAAAGCAGGGGTGGGATTCAAATTTTTAACCACCGGTTCTGTGGGCATGGCTTAGGTGGTGGGCGTGGCTTGGTGGTCATGTTATTGGCTGGGCGTGGCCAACTCAACATTACTCACATCGAGGCACGCATCTCCTCACCTGGCCTCTCATGCCTGGGGATGCTGCAACAGTTGTAAGTGTGAAAAATGGTCATAAGCCACTTTTTTCAGTGCCATTGTAACTTTGAATGGTCACTCCATGCAAGCACAGTACCAGCAAAGGAGGGGAAAATAACTCCAGAGATGTTCCTGAGCAGGAAGTCTAGTCCTGCCGAGAATGTAATAAGTGTTAATGGAGAGGCAGTTTCTGTAAGCAACACCAGAATGTTTCCTTCCTACCTTCCTTACAGGATTAGGCCAGTAATTTATTCTAACAACCGGTTCTCCAAACTGCTTAGAATGTTAACAACCGGTTCTAGCAAATAGGTGTGAACTGGTAGAATCCCACCCCTGCTAGAAAGCCAACAATTCAGTAGCTGCATCTGTGGTTGAGCTTAAAGGAGTTAAAACCATCAAGTCCTTTTATTGCTAGAAAGGATAGGAGGAGCCGAGAAGCTCAAAGGAATTTCCTCTTCCTGCTCACCCAGGGGAGGAGGGTAATGTGCAGGATGGCTTTTGTTCTCTTCCAAGGGTCGAAGCAGCATCTGGAAGGTGAGTTAAGGACAGGTTAGAGGAAAGGCTGGGTGCTTTGGTTTGGGTGCTGCCAACCGGTGTACATCGATGATGGTTGCAGCATACTCATGATCCCCATTTGTGACCTTCCCAGTTAGACCTTCCCAGCTTCTCATAAACACCATCAGTGGGGATGCTGGCAGGAAGGTGCAAGTGACAATCATGTGAAATTGACTTTAACAACCCACAGTGATTTGCTTAACAACTGCAGAGAAACAGATGTAAGTTGGCACACTCATCTGACAATTAGTGATGCAGATGCCAGTCCCAAACGCGGTCAGTAAGTGAGGACTACTTCAATAGGAATGTCACCAGAGTGGTTGTGGAAAGTATTTTCTGTCCTTACTTGGAGCCGAGGACATTTTTCTGATTGAAAACACGTGGATTTTCCACATATATCCCTTTATAGGTGTGTGTATTTATACTTCTCTCTGTATGTACATATCTACAATTGTATAATCTACCGCTAGCACTTTCAGATATATTTGATGAATAACCCTTTGCAGTGCTAAAAATTTATGATTGACTCAAGTTAATAAAAGAAATTCATGACTGAATGGGTATTTGAATTTGGATCTTTCTAATCTATCAGTCATAATGTAAGAGGTTATTTTAGCATTGTAGCATGCTTGCTTTTCAATGTAATGTATACTTTTTTCTTTTTCTCATACCTTCTGTAACCATCTTATAAAATAATTAAAGTTATATTTTTCTTTGCATCTTATAGACAAAGAGGATGCTGATAAAAGCACTCGGGACAACTGAGAGTCACAAGCAAGGTTAAAAAAAGAAAGCAAATCAAGCCAGAAACCAAGTTATTTGTCATTTCCTTCAGAAAACTACACAATTTTTCTTCCACAGAAGCTGAGAAACAAAGAATAGAAAATCAAAAAGAAGATTTTTTTTGAGTTGGAATGAGTAATTTATATAGAACACAAGAACACACTATATGAAAAGATCAGAGGAGATTATTTTTCCATTCAGAAAAAGAAGGAAATATCTGGAAGTCAGTGCGGAGTAAAAGGTTAATTGAACGGTCACATATGGCGGACATAATGCAGGATTCACCCTGTGAGGAAGAAAATACTTTGAATCAAAGCTCCACCCAGCAAGGATCACACATATTTTTGACCTCTTCAATATCAGTGGTGGAAAAGCTTCACAGATCTGCCTATTGTGGGAAAGAAACAGATTGCAACTCACAGCTGATTATGGACAACATGATCCACATTGGAGAAAAGCCATACAAATATTCTGAATGTGGCAAAAGTTTTGGTCAAAACTGCTCCCTTGTGGTTGATGGAAGGACCCACACAGAACAGAAGCCCTACCCATTTTCCCAATGTGATGAAAGCTTTGGCATGCATGGCAACTTGGTAATACATCAGAGGACTCACCACAGGGAGAAATCATATGACTGTCCTGATTGTGGGAAGAGTTTCACTGGAAATTCCCACCTCATGAGACACCTGAGGACTCACACAGGAGAGAAACCCTTTGAATGTCCTGATTGTGGGAGAAGTTTCAGTCAGAATTCCACCCTGGTGAAACATCAGAGGACTCACACAGGGGAGAAACTCTTTGAATGTCCTGAGTGTGGGAAAAGTTTCAGTCAAAATTTCAACCTGGTGATACACCTGAGGACTCACACGGGAGAGAAACCCTTTGAATGTCCTGAGTGTGGGAAAAGTTTCAGTCAGAATTCCAACCTGGTGATACATCAGAGGACTCACACAGGAGAGAAATTGTATGACTGTCCTGATTGTGGGAAGAGTTTCATTACAAATTCCCACCTGGTGATCCACCAGAGGACTCACACAGGAGAGAAACCCTTTGAATGTCCTATTTGTGGGAAGAGTTTCAGTCAGAATTACAGCCTAGTGATACACCAGAGGACCCACACAGGAGAGAAACCCTTTGAATGTTCTGATTGTGGGAAGAGTTTTAGTCAGAATTCACACTTGGTGATACACCAGAGGATTCACACAGGAGAGAAACCGTATGAGTGTCCAGAGTGTGGGAAAAGTTTCAGTCGGAATTCCAGCCTGGTGGTACACCAGAGGATACATACAGGAGAGAAACCTTATGAATGTCCGGATTGTGGGAAAGATTTTAGTAGTAGGTCTAGTCTTCTAAGTCATGTAGGTTTACACACAGGGGAAAAACCTTTCAAATGTCCAGTCTGTGGACGGTACTTCATGCGTAAATCATCTCTTATTGCACATGAGGAAATCCACACAAGGCAAAAATTGATGACTTTAGAGAAAGCTTGAATTTCTTTTGTGATCTCTCATTGGCACTCTAAGTGAGAAATTGACTACAGGTCATCTACTTACAATCAGAATTGCGCCCCAAAGTTATGTTGCTTCGTGAGAAATTTGTTAAATGAGCAACATGATTGATTGTTAAGTGACTCTTATTTCCCTATTGACTTTGTTAGGTTGCAAAAGATGATCCCATGACCCTGGGAAGTGCAACCATTATAAATATCAGTTGTCAAGTATCCAAAGGTAAATCCCATGACCATGGGGATGCTATAATGGTCATAAGTGTGAAAAATGTTCATAAGGTCATTATTTTCATTGCAACTTTGATTGGTCACTAAGCGAACTGTTGTAAGTCGAGGACTACCTGTATTTGATTTCTGGCCTAATGCTTTTAAGTGAGCCCATTAATAAGACAGGTAGATGAAGAGAGAAAAAATGGAAAATCTTAGTTTGAAAGACTACCAATTTCTGATTATCAGCAAAAAAAATTCTGGATAGTTCCTTTTGCAGAAGTATTGGAATTCCTCAAAAAGGCCCCTGGGTGGTGTTTTTTTGTATATTGATTATGTAATTCCCACGTGTGGAGTTTCCATCTTCTGCCTTAGTGTCCTCTAGATTTTGAGCACCAAAATTCCCCTGCCACCATACAAGTAGCCGTTGAGATACAACTGTAATGGGGCCTGCCAACTAGCTGTCTGTTGTGTTAAGCGCGACTGCTTTGCTTCACTAATCTCTGCTCTCCCTGATGCAGCCATTAAATGTGCGCGTCATTAAGTGGAACAGTAGCTACCTCAGTGTTGGGGGAAGCTCTTGGAGTCCAAGTGTGAGCCAGCCTTCCCTCCCCTAGGCCTCCCCGAGATATCTGGTGCTCTGCTTCCCGACTCTTGTATTCCCCCGAGCTTTTCCCTCCCCCACGGATCCCCCCCAACCCTTCATCCCCCCAGGCCTTTCCCTCCCCCACGGATCCCCCCAACCCTTCATCCCCCCAGGCCTTTCCCCATTCCCATTGGATCTCTGAAGCCCTTAGGCCAAACTCCCACCCCACCAGGCTTCACACCCTAAACTTCCTTATCTTTTTAAGGTTTCTAATCTCACTTTTGTGAAAGGAGGGTAGGCCGTACATTACTGGGCTTGCATGATTGTGTCCTGAGAGCAATCGTCCTTTTCAGCATGCCCGGGCTTCACCAGCGGGCCACACACATTTGTATTTGTGGAAGCAGCTGCCATTTTGCCACACCTGCCTCAGGGCCAAAATGGTAGCTGCTGTTGAATCGCCGTCATGTGGGAGAGGGAGAAACGGCTCTGTTTTGCTCCCTTTACACCGTGTAGGGAGTGTACCTGTGTATCTTAACACTGTGGGGGAGTTGGCCTAAGGCACAGTTAAAAAAAAGCAGCGTAAAATTTCCCATGTAAAGTCTGTTCTGCCTTGCAGATGAACCTGTTGAAGAACTGTAGGAATATTGAGTTAAGGAGAAAAGGTCTCCAGGTTTATTAACAACTGCTGGGACCTCGCGTTTTTGGAGGTGCCTGCTTATTACCCTTTGACAGCTGCTGGGTGATAACAGGACCAAGTTGCTGAAAAAAATTGTGGCACACACACACACCCTTGTTGGTGGTGTCGTGGAAAAAAAAATTGATCAGTGGAAAATGTTTCAGTTTTAAAAATGCATTGTGTAAGAACTATCATCAGCTTGTGACAGGAAAAAGTGGATAGTGTTGCTATGAACCTTTGGGCAAAGCAAAATGCTCACTTCCCTCAAGCTGTGAGACGTGAAGTGAATAAGTTTAATAATAAAATTAATAAAAGGATGACGTAAGGCCCTTTTCTGAACTCTTGCTCAGGGGTGAACACTACTGACACACTACCATTGTTAAGCTACCTGTAAACTGCATTCTGCATCTCTATAACCAATCTGTCTTTTTCAATTTCCCTTCCCTCCTCGTTAAAAATTTAAAACTTCAGTGCATCTGTCTGGCTACTCTGTGCCTCTGATGATGTGAGCTGCAGTTAGGCTTCTGCCTCTTAATTTATTGTTGCATTGCTATTTACCTCAGTCCAGTGGTGGGATTCAATTTTTTTTACTATCGGTTCTTTGGGCTTGGCTTGGAGGGCGTAGCTTGGTGGGTGGTCTGGGGAAGGATACTGCAAAATCCCATTCCCTCCCCACCCCATTAACCTGCTTTCCAGCTCTGTTCTCCTGTGCAGGGCAACAAAAGAAGAACCAGCCGATCAGCTGGGACTCGGGAGGCAGCGAATAGATGGGGGCAGGGCCAGCCAGAGGTGGTATTTGCCGGCTTAAAACACATGGATTTTCCACATATATACATTTGTAAGTGCGTGTTTGAACTATATGCTACAATGACCACAAATTTGTGGACCAGGTGTACCTCTGCATTCACAGTGCCATTGCAACTTTGAAACAGTAAACGAGGACAACCGATACAAACTGAACATCTGAAAAAGTCCTCCATAAGTAAGTTTTAGTGGAGCCTGGTTAATACACGGATGGGGCTCCAATAGGAAATATTGTGCTTGTTGTCTCTTCTGAGATTTTTGTCTTTTTAGACATGAAACTAAAAAGACAAAAATCTCAGAAGAGACAGTGGCTGGTCAGCCCCCTCCTCCCTGGACCCCGTCTCACAAACCCCTTGAGCACCCCTCCTTGCGAGGAGATCTCCGTAGCCCTGGAGATATTAAATCAATTGTTAATATAAAAGCAGAAACACCACCCCTTCTTTTTACCAGATGTTTCTGTCTACCCTCTGAATCTGAAATCCTGAGATACGCAAGCTGCTACTATTAATTGAATCTTTTAACCAGAAGGGAGAACTGCCAATTTGTAAAAATCGGGGTTGCATCTGTTTAAAGAGAGTGTTTCATCTCTATCTTATTCACTTGTGAACATAAACTAGTCAGAGTGACAGGGGAGGAGTTTTTATTCCATTTTTCCTTGATCTGTTCAAAATCCCTGTTTGCTTTACCCCTCCTTTATCTTTTGGGTTTACTTTTGCTGAGACCTGCTGTTTCCTAGATCAGCATCCCCTCTGCATTTGTAAAGGTGAAATAATCACAAAAAGCCGCCCCTTTACAAACCGCTAGCTGTTTAAACAATTCATCACTTGAGTCTGAAATTCAAAATGAATTCCGGAGAAGAATAAAAAGCAAAACAAAATCTACCAGAGAGCATTTTTAGTGAGACTGCTGTCAGAAGTGTCATCTTGAGGTGAAATTCTATCCTATTCTATTCTATATACCATCGGGCAACTATCATACAAAGGAATAGAAACGGGCAGGCACTACGTACCGTAAATTATTGCATGATTTTTGAAAATCCCATCCGGGTGATCATCTATATCTGTCACATTGACAACTATATTCTCTCTGATATGTAGTCAGGAAATATAAAACATTTTGTTCCATTGGTCCAGAAATTCCTGCCTGATTCTTCCCCCTGTGGACACTCCAGGCCAATTCAGATTACTATTAATGTTTTCTTCACTTTAAACAGCTCAGATGTATTTCAGGGGTAGCATCTTAGAGGTTCGCTAGTGAATGGAGCTCGGTGCTGTGTGTGCAAAGTCACTGGGACCTTCCATGGCTGAATGGGGAACACAACCTGCATATTCCTGCTGCTCATTCAGCCTCTTCATCATTAGCCGGTCCTATGCCCAGAGGCCCTCCACCCACCCCAGGGCAGAGAGAGAGTAAAGAAAATAACCTTAGGAGATAAGCAACCTATTCTCAAGTCCACAACAGAGAATGTTACAAACAGGCTCAGACAAACACCTCCCTAATTCAGAGGAACATCAGAAATGGGTAGGCGGTTCAACACAATCAGACTTGCAAGATTTTCTTATTAACATTCGGTCTCAATAATAAAAAGTGTTGAAGAATCTTCCTGTGGACTTGATTTCTTGGCCTGGTCTACCAAGTGGGGCTGGGCCTGAGGGACCTTTCGTGGCTGAGGAGGGACTGCAATTTGGGTGTCCCCACTCCTAGTCCAGCAACAGCACCTTCCCCATGCAGCCCACCAGCTCTCTAATAGGAAAGCCACCCCGAGAGAGACTCCTGTAGGAAGTTAGCACCCACTCCTAGAAAAATGAAATGTCCTAGGAAATATTTAAAAGGCAGAATATTTCCCCTAAAAAGAGTAGAAACTCAGAAGCAGAAGCTCACCTCAGAAGCAGAAACTCACCCCCACCTTTGCTAATGGACCATTACTCTGGCCTGGGCCAGCCTATTTTACATAACAAAGATCTCCAGTAGAGCTATAGGAATTGCCCAAAAGCCCTTTTCATTACATCATCATCATCATCCAACAAGGCTCAACCAAGCCTGGGACTCAGGACAGTCTACAAAGTTGCCCCTGCACGGCCCCATGGGAATCTGACAACTAATCAGTATACAAACTCCAATTCAAATCCCAATAGAGGGCATAAAACCCCGGGCACATTCAGCAGATCAGCCCGCCCTTCTTTTCCTTCATCTTGAAGCATGGGATCGTTCTTTTCCACTTTGGAGCTCCAAGCCACGTGGTCTTGTCCGCCATTAAACCATTTTCCCAAGCAGTCACCGTGTTTCCAGTGTCTTTCTTCTCCGCTTGGAACTGAACCCGGAAGGATAATTCTTCCAACACTCACTACTGCACATCGATCTTCTCCCCCATCAACTGCAGGAAGAAGCAGCCCATAGGGCGGGTGAGGAATGTGGGTAGTCCTCACTTAGGGACCACGAGCATGACTGGCAATTCTGCTGCTGAGGTTTATGACTGCTAAGTGAAATAATCACCCGATTGCAAAAGGCTTTGGACTTCATTTAGCCTCTAGGCATTAAATGACTGACTGTAGGCATTTGAGACGTCACCTGGCTGCTACTTGTGATTGGATTTCAGTCTTCTCGGTGGATTTGGCTTGTTTTAAGCTGGTTGGGCAGCATGCTAATGGCTATCGCATGATCGTTGGGCAGTTGGATGATTTAAAATGCAAGGATTGTTTGCAAAGCGAGCCCTAACCCAACATAATGTTGAATATTTACTAAACGAGACAAATGGTAAGCGAGGACTACCTGTATTACACCCAGGAACAAAAAAGCCACGTGCAGCGGATGTCATTTGCTGGAAGCATCACAGGAAGAAAATAATTGTTGTACCTAGCTGGTAGTTCACCCAAAAGGATGTGAAGGATTGTGGTGAGAAAAAAACAATTTCTGCTCTGGGTGGTCCCTGTCCCCTGGAACCGATGGAGGAGTTTGGGATTATGAGCGCACACAAATAAATCCCTTTATAAGCCTGAGCTCTTCCCAGGAATCTCCCATGCGGAGCACAGTCGCTTCCTAAAAGACCCCTCACCATGGTTTGAAAACTGCAGATTGGTTGGAGGCAGAGCGGATGTGGATCCTACAGATTTAAACAGATAATCAGAGTTCGGAGGGACCTTGTAAGTCATCTAGTCCCACCCTCCGCCCAAGCATGAGACCCTACACCATTTCTGACAGATGGGAGTCCAACCTCTTCTAGAAAGTCTCAAGTGATGGCGCTCCCACAACTTCCGAGGGCAAGCTGTTCCATCGGTTGATTGTTCTCAGTCAGAAAGTTTCTCCTTATTTCCAGGTTAAATTCTCTCCGTGTTCAGTTTCTATCCATTATTTGTTGTCTGGCCTTCAGGTGCTTTGGAAAATAGCGTCACCCCTTCCTCTCTGTGGCAGCCCCTCAAATATTGGGACACTGCTGTTGTGTCTCCTCTGATCATTCTCTTCACTAGACTAGCCATGCCCAGTTCCTGTAACTATTTGGAGCGAACAGACTAAATGCATGATGAAGTTGGTGGTAACTGGGAAATGGACTTGCCATATCTAACTGGAAAACAATTTGGACTGGACTCTTGGGAAAATGGATCGACAACGGAGGTTTATGATTTTAAGGAACAAGACACAATTGTGGTTTGATTGTTCTCAACCAAAATCAACGGAAAAAGTTTTATTCGTAAGAATCAAAAATATTTCATCCCTGGCAGATCAGAGACGACGATTATAGTGACTTATGGTAAATAAGAAGCCATTCTATACTTTATGTTAAATGAAAAGCTGGATTTTTAATGCTTTGCCATTTTAACTTTGCTGTTGATTCTCCTGTTAACCACTTTGCCTCTTTCTATAGTAGATACAGTATATGAAAGTCAAATTGTTTGTAGAGGTAGAATGTTATAAATTTTGGGCCTGCTTCGCAAGGGGAGGAAACTAAGGTTGCTCCGATATATTTATGAATATTCAAATGGAGGGGATAATTTGTGTAAATCTCTTTTTGTCTTTTTAATGCACATTTTTCTTTATTTTTAAATGTTGTATCTATCCTTGTTTTTGTTTTGGAGTTTAATTTATATTAATTTTCCTGAATAAAATATTTTTTTCAAAACAGCCATTTTACAAGAAACAAGTTCATGGGGGCTGCTCTTTATCGATTTTCTAAACTGCCTCTAAATTCATCGAAACATTGCATTACAGCCTTGAAAAGGACCCCGGAAGTCCAACCCGCTTCTCAAGGCAGGAGCTTTATACCATCCCGCTCAACTGGTTCTCCAGTCTATTCTTGAAAACCTCCAGTGATGGAGACACCTACAAAACCTGGAGGAAAGTTATGGCATTGATTAATTGCTCTCACTGATAAAGACAATTTCTCTTTATTTCTAAGTTGGGCCTCATTTTAACAAACGTCCACCCATTACTTCTTATCCTCCCATCTGGGGCCCTAGAGAATAAGTCAATCCACTCTTCTTTGTGACAGACCCTTTATCACCTTTGTTAGTCTTCTCTGCGCACTTTCCAAGGTCTCAGCAAATTTTTTGTATCATGGTGACCAGAACTGGACACAGTATTCTAAGTGTGGTCTCATCACAACTGTGTAAAGCAATTCTATCGCTTCTTCTTGTCTTGACATTATTCTTCTGTTGATATAGTGTAGCACTGCATTGGCTTTTTTTGGCAGCTGCAACACAACACTGGCACAAGGGGTATTTGTCCATTCTCATGTGCCTCAGGGATACATGGCCTGCCCTTAGGGAGATTTCCCAGAGGCAGCCACCATTTTCAGTGCACCCACAATTCCTTAACACAGTCTACAAGGTATTAAGATAGCAAAACAGAACAGTTTGTCCTACTCCCAGTGACCCAGAAGCAGCCACCATATTGATAGAAGCAGGCATACAAAATGGCAGCTGCTTCCACACATCCACTGCATGGCCCAGGGATGAATCTTGAGCCAGACAAAATAACAGCTCTTTCTATAAGGCAGCCCAGAGATGCATGTCCTGCCCTCTTTCCCCACGAGGTTCAGAAATCTTCCAAAGGTATGGAGAATTGATGCATGGTAGGGTGGGAGTAAGGCCTACGGATTACATGGATCCAGTAGAAGTGGGGACCCTTTGGGGGAGAGAAAGGCCTATGGCCATGATGGCAAATCTATGGCATAGGTGCCACAGGTGGCATGCAGAACCATTTGTGCAGGCACGCAAGCCCCAGCCAAATTTCCCTGCACTGCGCATGCGTGCACCTCCCAGCTGATTTTTGGCCTGTTTGAGGCCATTTTCGCCCTCCCAGAGGCTCGAGGGAATCCTCTGTAGCCTCGGGAGACTGAAAAACAGGCCTTCCGGAAATACAGTAAGTGCCCGTTTTCAGCCTCTGGAGCTCGGGGAAGGCCATTTTTGCTCTCCCAGAGACTCGAGGGAAGCCTTTGCAGCCTCAGAAGGCTGAAACACGGGCCTTCTGGAAATACTGGAAGTGCTGAAACTGGCCCCTTTTTCAGCCTCCTGAGGCTCCAGGGGTTTCCCTCGAGCTTCCAGGTGGGCAAAACGGCTTCAAATGGGCCAAAAATCAGCTGGGAGGTGCACGCATGCGCAGTGCAGATAAGGGGGTAGGGCAGGGGTATTGCATGTGCCTTCACAGGGGGGGGGGATGCGGGACGCATTGCATTGTGGGTGCCAGCATGCACACACGCTTTCCGCACACCACAACTAAAAGGTTCGCCATCATTGGCCTACAGGGACCTGTGAGGAAGGGAAAGGCCTGGGAGGACCCAAAGATTGGGATAGGGGAGGCCTTTGGAAGGCAAACCTGCACTAAGCTTCCAAGAGCTTCCCCAAACTCTGAAGTAGCCGCTGTTGAGCTTAACAACTTACACATTCGTTTGACAGCTTCATCAGGGAGAGAAGGGGGTGGCGATAGTTCAGAAAGTACTTAACCACTTAACCAACATTACAACATGCTCTTGTGGCCCGCCAGCTGAGCTGGCGACAGACTCGGACAGTGAGGAGGTTGGGGAGGAACATGGGCCAGTCCTGGAGTCTGGGAAAGACTCTGACAAGTGCTCTGCATCTGAGGCAGAGATGGGGCCAGGGCCATCTGACAGTGATCAGCTGCCTTCGGAGTCAGAGATAAGTGGGGCAGAAGAGCAGCTGGAGCCTGTTCTCAGTTGCGCTTGTGCAGAGTTGCTAGGAGAAAGGAACAGTTAAGGACCAAGGGTTGACTTGGGATTAAAGGCTCAGGTGAATGCCCCCTCCCATAGGGAATAAAGAGGAGCGAGAGGGGAGTGGTTTGCAGGAGACAATTAATTCGATTCATTAGGGTGAAGATCTGTTCCTGATTTCTTGCCAAGTAATTGCTGCTACATTTGGAAGATATCGGCCTGGCAACTCAAGAAGCCCAAGAAACGTCTGTCGTTGTGAAATCTCATGAAAGACTCTTTGCCGGGACTTTGCTGGAGAGGAATTCACTTTAACCTAAATAAAAGGGGTTTTATTGGAATGAGGAGTCTGCTTCGTGATTCTGAGAAGCCTAGGTTGGAACACATGCAACCAAAATTTGCAGCTGTATCTCGAGGACTACTTGTATGGTGGCTGGGGAATTATGGCATTCATAATCTGAAGCTCAAAAAAGTAGAAGAGAGAAACTCCACAATCAATAGATGATATCTAGAAACAGGTAGTTCACCTTTATCAAATAGATTTCACATTTTTTCCTCTCCAACTACAAGTATAAACTTGCAATGTGTCGACTAAAAAGGATCAGGCCAACATCCAGAGTCTATTTCTCACCTACACTCTTAACGGGAGTTCAGAAATGAAATTCAAACTCATTAACTTTGGCCTCTTATGAATTTAGTTATATGCAGTAAGGCAGGGGTGTCAAACTGAAGACCCAGGGCCCAGATCCAGCCATGGGGTGCTTAGATCTGTCCCGTGAGGCTGCCCTGGAAACAGCGAAGGACTGCCCAACGGCGCCTCTGCCAGTGAAAATGGAACTTACAAGGGCTGCAATGCAGCTCTCCTGAGCTCTGTTTTTGCTGGTAGAGGGTTGCAGGAGGCTGTCGCAGTGAAAACAGAGCTCAGGAACTCATTTTTGTTGGCAAAGCTCTCGCCCACCCGACATGAGTGATGTCAACATAGCCACATCCACCCTGGCCCTCCAAGGTCAAACACAAACCTGATGCAGCCTTCAATGAAATAGAGTTTGACACCCCTGCGATAAGGAGTTATCTAGGCCTAAAGTGCTGTCCAAAGATTGGACATTAGAAAAGTTTCTCCCATGTGAGTCCTCTGGTGTTTCACCAGGTTTGAATTGAAATGAAAACTTTCTCCACAATCAGGGCATTCAAAGTGTTTTTCATGTGACCTCTGGTGTATCACCATGTGAGAATTCAGACTGAAACTTTTGCCACAAACGGGACACTCATACGGTTTCTCTCCTGTGTGAGTCCTCTGATGTATCATCAGGTTGGAATTCTGACTGAAACTTTTGCCACAAACAGGACACTCATACGGTTTCTCTCCTGTGTGAGTCTTCTGGTGTTTCACCATGTAGCAATTCCAACTGAAACTTTTGCCACAAACAGAACACTTATATGGTTTCTCCCCTGTGTGAATCCTCTGGTGTTTAACCAGGCTGGAAGTACGACTGAAACTTTTCCCACAGTCAGGACATTCAAAAGCTTTCTCTCCTGTGTGTGTCATCTGGTGATTTGTGAGCTGTAATTCTGTAATGAAAGTTTTCCCACAATCCGGACATTCAGAGGGTTTCTCTCCTGTGTGAGTCTTCTGGTGTATCACCAGGCTGGAATTATGACTGAAACTTTTCCCACACTCAGGACATTCAAAGGGTTTCTCTCCTGTGTGAGTCCTCTGGTGTTTTATGAGGTTGGAATTGGTAATGAAATATTTCCCACAATCAGGACATTCAAAGGGTTTCTCTCCTGTGTGAATCCTCTGGTGGCCAATAAGGTTGGAATTCTGACTGAAACGTTTGCCACAAAGAAGGCACTCATACGGTTTCTCTCCAGTGTGAGTCCTCTGGTGTGTCACCAGGCGGCTTTGGTGACTGAACCTTTTCCCACAGAAAGTGCATTCAAAGGGTTTATCTCCTGTATGAATCCTCTGGTGACTCACGAACTGGAATTTTCTCATGAAACATTCCCCACAATATGGACATTGATATGATTTCTCTTCTGTATGAGTCCTCTGGTGTTTCACCAATCTGGAATTGTCAATGAAACTTTCCCCACAAACCAGACACTCATACGGCTTCTCTCCTGTGTGAGTCCTCTGGTGTATCACCAGTTGGGAACTGTGTCTGAAACTTTTCCCACAAAGAGCACATTGAAATGGTTTCTCTCCTGTATGAGTCCTCTGGTGTATCACCAGGTGGGAATTCTGTCTGAAATTTTTCCCACAAACCGGGCACTCATATGGTTTCTCTCCTGTGTGAGTCCTCTGGTGTATCACCAGTTGCCAATTATGACTGAAACTTTTCCCACAAAGAGCACATTCAAAGGGTTTCTCTCCTGTGTGCGTCATCTGGTGAAACAATAGGCTGGAGTTGTGTCTGAAACTTTTCCCACAATCAGGACATTCAAAGAGTTTACCTCTTGTGTGAGTCTTCTGGTGAAACACTAGGTTGGAGTTGTGTCTGAAACTTTTCCCACAATCAGGACATTCAAAGGGTTTCTCTCCTGTGTGAGTTCTCTGATGGTTCACCAGGTTGGTATTCTGACTGAAACTTTTCCCACAATCAGGACATTCAAATGGTTTTTCTCCTGTGTGAGTCCTCTGGTGCTTCAACATGCCAGAATTCTGTCTGAAACGTTTCCCACAATCAGGACATTCAAATGGTTTCTCTCCTGTATGAATCCTCTGGTGTACGATCAGGTGGGAATTATGACTGAAACTTTTCCCACAAACCGGGCACTTGTATGGTTTCTCTTCTGTGTGAATCCTCTGGTGTTTTGCCAGGTGAGAATTCTGAATGAAACTTTTCCCACAATCAGAACATTCAAATGGTTTCTCTCCTGTGTGAATCTTCTGGTGTACCACCAGGTGGGACTTCTGACGGAAACTTTTCCCACATGCAGGACATTCAAAAGGTTTCTCTCCTGTATGTGTTCTCTGGTGCATCACAAGGAGGGAATTTGCAGTGAAACATTTCCTGCAATCAGGACACTCATATGATTTCTTTTTGGTGGGCATCATCTAGTTTATCACCAGGCCGGAGTTCAGACCAAAACTTTTCCAACAAACAGCGCATTCAACGGGTTTCTCCCTGGTGTGAGTTCTCTAATGTATTACCAAGCTGCCATACTCAATACATTGGGAGCACTTGTAGGGCTCCTCTCCTATGTGGGTCCACCTATGAACCACAAGGGAGCTGTTCTAACCAAAACTTTGGCCACATTAGTATTATTTGTCTCCAATGTGGATCGTTTTGTGCATACTCCGTTGTGATTTGAAATCTGCACTTTTCCCACAATTGACACGTCTGTGCAGCTGCAAAAAGGGATCACGTGGATCCTAGAACACAATTTCTGGATTAATTTGCTTTCCTCTTTCATGTTCCTCGTTATTCTCAGTTGTCCGGAGTGGTTTTATTGGCATCTTCTTTGTCTATAAGATTCAAAGGAAAGAGTAATTTGTATTGTTTATAAAATGGTTGCAGAAGATGTGAAAGAAGAAAAGCATGTACATTAAAGGTTAAAAAGCAAACATGCCACAATGCTAAAAGAACATCTTACATTAATTATGATTCGTTTGACACTGTGAAGATTACCGAGATCCAAGTTCACCTTTGCATTCAACCATGAAATTCTCATGTTGATTTCGGTCAATACAAATTGTTAGTACATCAATTATTGGATAGGATTGCTGTAATTAAGATGAATATTACCTACAACAGAATAATAGAGTTGGAAGGGACCTTGAAGGTCTTCTAGTCCAACCCTCTGCTCAAGCAATAGACTTTATACTATTTTCAGACAAGTGGCTGTCGAATCTCTTTTTGAAAGCCTCCAGTGATGGAGAACCCAAAACCTCCGAAGGGAAGCTATTCCATTGGTTGATTGCTGTTAATTGTTAGGAATTTTCTCTTTAGTTCAAGGTTGCTTCACGGGTTAGTTTCCATCCATTGTTTCTTTTGTTACTCTGGAAAATAGTTTGAGTTGTCTTTGTCCTTGTAGGAGCCCCTAAAATACTGGAACACTGCTGTCATGTCTCAGCTAGTCCTTCTCATTAAACTAGACATACCCATTTCCTGTAACCATTCCTTGTATGTTTTAGCCTCCAGCACTCTAAATTACCAAGGATGCATTTTCTGTTTCAGACTTTACCAACACTTGTGATACTCTGTTTAAACAATGGCAGATGGAGATCTCTTAAGTTTATATTGCAAGGGAATAAACAAGGACTAAATCTAAATGATCGCAAGACGCTAAGGCAAGGGTCTTCAAACTTGGCACGTTTAAGACTTATCTCCCAGAATTCCTGAGCTATCATGACTGGAGGAGGAATTCTGGGAGTTGAAATCCACAAGTCTTAAAGCTGTCATGTCTGAAGACCTTTGTGCTAAGGAAATAGGAGGTTGGGTTTACCAGATTTAAAATTGTACTTTGATGCTTGTTTTGTTTGGGAAAAAAAGAGTAATTCTCCAAATGAAGACGATACTTGAACTAGAGGGCCATGAATTAAGATTTTGAAGGCAAGACTATTTATTGTATGATACGGTTAGGGAATGATATAAAGGCAATGGATTTTATCCATTAAAGAAAAGCTTTTTATCGTTGATGGTGGACATGTCACAAAGCAAAGGAATTTTGGAGTACGATACACATTTTAAAACAGAACTACTAAAGTGAATATAAAGATAAAAGCACACAGGGTTTTTTTTTTAAGGCTTAATGGATACAGAACTTGACAAAAATGGAACATTGATGTTATATGTGTTGATTGAGGCAAAAATGGAAGAATATTTTCATTCCCACAATAGATGAATGGCTGTAAAACCTGATGGCGTTAACAGAGATGGCTAAATTGACTGCTTTGATTAAAGAAAAGAACATGGTTAATTTGTTTCTATACGGAAACTGCTTTTGGACTTTGTTCTTGAGATATTAATATATTTTTTGTGGGGAAAAAACCCCAAATTCTTAGCACTGCAAAGTGTTACTATGAAATATATCAGGAAATGCTGGGGATAGATTATACAATTGTAGTTATATACATAGAGAAAAATAGAAATTAAGCACACAAACAAATTTATATATGTGGAAGATCCATGGGTATTCAGCTTGAAAAATGTTCCAAAACGGTTACAAATCTTTTGAGCTACTTTTAGAGATGTGGGGCTTTAACTGATGCCTAAAGTCTCTGCAAGATTTGAAGCACCAGTTTTGCCATGGAAGTTCTGAGATCCAAATAAGTCAAGAAATACTTTCTACAACCACTCTGGTGACATTCCTATTGTAGTAGTCCTCACTTACTGACTGCATTTGGGACTGGCATCTTGTGTCACTAAGCAACCTGATCATGAAGCAGGATGTCACATGACAGTGCCAACTTACACCTGTTGCTCTGCAGATGTGGGTTGTTAAAGGCAATTTCACCTGACCGTGGCTTTCCACTTCCTACCGGCATCCCCACTGATTTAACTTGTGTGAAGCTAGCTGGGAAGGTCACAAATGGGGATCATGAGGGTGGGACGTTGCAACCATCATAAATGTGCACCAGTTGGCAAGAACCCAAATTGATTGCAACTCCTTTTCCTGCCTCTACACAACCACAGGAACTGCTGACATGTTCAGGTCACTTACGGTGTTACGGTGACCACAGATTTCAGGACCAGGTCTACATCTGCTTCTGCAGTGCCATAGTAACTTCGAAGGCTCACGAAACATATGGTAAGTGAGAACTAGGGGTATTAGTAGGTATTGAGGTAAGGTCTTCAATAGCTGAACCTGGTTAATACATGGAGGGGGCACCTATAGGAAATACCGTGCTTGTTGGTTAGACATGGAAGTAAAAAATCAAAAGACACAATGTTAGATTAGTCCAATATTATTGCCAAGAAAACATAACAGGGTCCATAACAGAACAACAGAGTTGAAAGAGATCTTGGGAGATCTTCTATCTAGCCCAATCCCTTGCTTGAGCAGGAGGTCCTGAGAAACCTGACAACTTTATCGCCCAAAAGGTAGAGGATGGAATTAGAGGGTCAGCTCTACTGGACTTAATACTAAGAGAGAAGAAATGAAAGAGCAACAAACATATTCGGGGGCCTTGAGGCTAAAACAAACAAAGATGGTTGCAGGAGTTGGGTGTGTCTAGTCTACAGAAGAGGAGGAGAAGGAGGCATGATAGCAGTCTTCCAATATTTGAGGGGCTACCCCAAAGAAGGGGGGGGCTCATCCTCTTCCACAGAGCATCTGAAGGCAGAACAACCAATAATGGATGGAAATGAAGCAAGGAGAGAAGCAAGCGAAAATATCCTGACTGTGAGTACAATTAACCAGCTTGCTTGCAGAAGCTGTGGGTGCTCCATCACTGGAGGCTTTCAGGAAGAGCCTGGACAGCCATGTGCCTGAGATGGTATAAGGTCTCCTGCTGGAGCAGGGGGCTGGACTAGATGACCTCAAAGATCCCTTCCAAGTGTTATGCCATATTCTAGCTGCTTCTCTGCTTCCACGCCATGGAGGGAACCAAACAGCCTGAGTTGCTCCCAAATTCTCCTCCGACCTGCCCTCAACTCACCTGCCAGCTGAGGTTTTCGAATGATCCTTGGAAAAGGCGCAGGAACCTCTCTGCACGCCACTCTCCTCTCGTATCCATTAGTCTTCCGGAAGAGGAAGTTCCTTTGTGCTTCTTCTTCTTCTTCTTTTCTCCTTCCATCCTTTCTAGCAATATAGTACTCGATGGTTTTAACTCCTTTAAGGTCAACCAGAGAGGCCGCTATTGTGTTGTTGGCTTCCCAGTCACAGATGCTGCCATCTCGCGATACGAGGCCAAAAAAACAGGCTTGTCCCATCTACCGATGGTATTGGCCAGATCTTCTCACGGATCACCTGATATCAAGTCAATTTCAGACTCCTAGCAACCTATCTTTGCAGCTGAGCCAAGGGAAATAGTGGAATGTGTTCTTAGCTTGTGAAAATTAACTGTATGCTTCCTCTTTTCTGGGTCAGTCCAGATTGCTTATCATATCAAGCCACAGTCCTTCTCTGTTATCCAATTCATACAATCGTTCATTGTATGTTTTAGCCTCCATTCCCCTAAATGTCTTTGTTCTTCTTCTCTGAACTCTTTCTACAGTCTGAACATCTTTTTTGTGCCCTGGTGACCAAAACTAGATGCAGTATTCAAAGTGTGGTTTTTTTTCAGTACACAAAGTCAGGCTTGACAATTAATACAGCATAACACAGTACTAACAATTCATGTGATCTTGACACTTTCTCTTTCTTTTCTTTTCTTGGCTCTATCTCTGTAATGCTGCAGACTAGGACTGAATTGACTTTTTAGGTAATTACAGCATGCCGCTAACTCATATTGAAAGGACATAGTGACAGGAATCAACCTAACCTTTGCCATTTGTTTCTGTTAAGAATTGCTTGTGTTATTTTGCTACGGTTAGGAATTAATTCTGTAACCCTTTCTTAAGAATGGTACCGCTTCTTAAGAATGGTATTCTTTACTGTCTGGTTTCTTGCTTCTGTTATGTGCTTCAAAGCTAGGCACATCCTTGGAGACAGAACAAAACAGTTACCCAGGAACATCCTGCTCCATAGATAAATGGGGTCAGAGCAGAAGGCTGCCTAGGAGTACGAACACACAAGACGACAAGGGATGTTCTGTAAGATAACAAAGCATAGACAGAACATGGACAAAGAATGCTCCATGGATAAGGGCAGAATGGGCAAGACCTTACCCACATCGAATAACAAACTTTTGTCTCAGTTTGGCTAAATGAGTGTATAAGATCCTAAACATAATTTCCTAGGTGTGGCTTTTATTCTTGCATGAGAGCCTCCAGTAATGTTCCACTGCCTGCTTCAACTGTGAGAAGGAGGGACACCAGGCCGCTAAATGCAAATCCAGCCATCCTGCCCAA